CAGATATCCCCCTAAAATAGCTAAAACTAAAAATAAACTAAAAACTACTTCCAAAAACATTCAGCTTTGATATTAATGAGTTTTTTGGGTTCATTGAGAACATGGTTGTTGTTCAATAATAAAATTATTCCTCAAAAATGCAACTTGCCTAATAATTCTGCACTCCCTGTATGCTCCTCCACATATACCATGAACATGAGGAGATTAGAAAAGCCAAAATGCCCCCACAGGTTATAGGAAAGGTTTGTAGTTAGCTGGTTAGTGAAGGAGATGCATCAGCTGGGTAGGAAGTCATTTAATCCTAACTCAGCCACAGCCTTCTGCTAGTGTCATTATTATCACAAGAATAAAGCAAAGATCTCAGAAATTATTAGAAGTTTAGGATTTTTCTTTTAAGTGTTAGTAGTGCTGGGCGATAAATCGATATGTTTTAAATATCGGTATAATTTTTAAACAAGATACAAGATGACTTTATATCGATATAACTGGTCAAACTGCTATGCTAGCGATTAGCCGCTATGCTAGCGACATGTTGCTCCGTCTGTAAGCGGCTAATACATGTATTCTCACAAGTCATCATGCTAGAGAAGTTTCTCTGTGGTGGACCACACCAGCTTCTGCCACAATAAATAATTATAATAATAAATAACATTTTTTATTTCCCTTCTTAACTATTTCAGTTGAGAGTTTTAATGTTTAAAATCTGTTAGATTGTTACTGACAGCAGCTACGTTTAAGTTTCACTTTCTGTTCTGACTGAACGCTGCTGCAGCATAGAGGTGTAGTTCTCAGTCATCCTGGACATGATCATCCTGAGAGTTTCAGCTGAAAACAGCTGGACGTTTCTGGATATGTTGGAGACATTTAGCCTCTCATCCCAGAGGCTTCTTCCAGACTTTGGTTGTGGTCAGAAACAAACACACTGGTTGTGCTGCAAGTCTTTTTCTTTTTTCTTCAAAACATGTTTTTGTCTAAATGAAGGTGATGTTATTGTTCATAGAATTAAAATTCATGTTGAAGTTAAGATTATTTCATCAAGTAGGACCTGTGGTTAGCCGGCTCATGTAAAACATGTCATGTCTTGAAAGAATCGGAATCGAAACGAGGAATCGTTCAAAATCAAACGATGCCCAACCCTACACCAGACTGTGACATGCATGAAACTAGAGAGCTTCCATCTCATCCACATGTTCCTGCAACTATTGTGTACGACCAAAAGACCAGGAATAATGGCTTTGCCTGTGTCTGTGTCCACTACAGCTAATGAACATCAACATTTACACAAAAAAAAAGATTTAACTGAGTCAGTTTTACAGATACTGAGCTAAGTTTTATGTGAAAGTAGATGAAAGCTGTCACCAACACAAAGAGACAGAGCAAACCGATCACACACAATTTGAGACTGGACATAAAGTTGTTTAAGATTTAAACAAAACAGCCTTAAGTAGATTATTTCTCAACATAAGATCTTTTTCGTTGAAATCTCAATATTACAATGGAAAGACCTAAGAAACTAAATTAACTCATTTTATAGCGACATCATCGACAACTCTTTACAAGCAGCACACCGATGTGTTTCTGATGAAAACCAACAAGCAGATTGAGTTCCGAGTCACTTAACACAAACATAAAGGTGTCACGTCATCATATCATGGATATGGGAAGATGATACTTTTTTACTGTGTTAAAAGTTAAACCAGTATTACAGAGTAGATAATACGGCCCAGCCCAAGGGTGTTCCTACAAGTAGCAGCAGCTTGTTCTCGATTTCCAAAATACATTGTGCCTAAATTTATGACGTGGTTTTTTTCTTTAGAATTAAACTGGGCTTTACTCTGGATGTGTAACACAATACATGCGTTTCACCTGAACCTCAGCGACGCAGCGCTTCCTACCAGGAGCTTTTCAGACACGTAGTGACTGCAAATGTATTTCATGCTGCTACCCCCGCAAAATCACAGGAGAATAGCTAAATCTTGCGTGATTTAGCCCGTTTATACAATAACAAACAAGGAGAAAGACGGCCTTTTCCGGATGAATTTTACAAAACTAGAAACAAAAGGGTTTTTTTAAATAAAGTTTAAAAGGATTTCTTAAAAGCCGATGTTTCCTGAACTTGATAATAAATATAAATTTTCTTTAATGGTTGAAGCTATGCAAATACAGAGGAATGGTATAGGACATTTTTGTTTGTCTATGTGTTTATGTGCTTCTCCCAAAGAAATGAGGGTATTTGTTGTGATTTATTGCAGAGGGTGTACTTGCGTGGTTCTTTTATCTCTCTCTATAATCTTCTAGTCAGCAGCAGCCTTCAGCGGGCTGCATACCTGTTAATACACCACCAACACGCGGGCCTGTAAAAAGACACGCTGCCGAGTGACGTTACATCACCACAGACTTGATGCTTCACCCTCTGTGGCCTCTCTGCAGCACCGGCATGGCTATCTTTCATGAGAGCTGCTGCTGATTGTTCCTGAGACAATCCTAAACAGGAGACTAATAATGTACATCTTTGCACCAGCTACATGAAAACACAAGTGGCAGGTGTGGTGGCTTATTAACTCCCCCTCCCTCTACTTCCACATAGACAGACTTCAAACAGCTGAGTACACAAACCTATCTCTGCAGCTTTGATGAGCTTCCAGATCACATATTTACTTTTGATAACCTTTCCGGGGCTGGCTGCAGGACCCAGACAGTCCACAGACAATCAGAGGAAATCTACAAGTAACTCCATAAAACACAAAATACGACCCAATATGCTCTCCAAGCGGCGCATCTCTCACTGCCACTAGACTGCAGTAAGACTGTTTACCCCTCATTTCCATCATGTTCATGAAAGGATCCCCGCGGGGAAAAACGTATTCATAAATACTTTTCCACTTGAGAGGTAAGGTGAGAAGAAAATTCACTGGAAAGCCTAAACAAAAGATCATTCTCAGCAGAATGGAAGGGAACGTGTCCGGGTTGATCTGGGAGGGGACGAACCTGCTACCAGCCCTGTAGTCCGGCCCGCTGCTGCAAACCAGCAAGAATTCTCAAAGTTTAGCCACACCAGAAACATTCAGCCAGCTCTGAGCCAGGTTTAGACGAAACACCAGGATGGGAGAACCTCTCTGCTGCTCCCAGGTTCTGTAACCGCCGGGGCGAACAGTAAACCCCATGACACACAGTCCACAAGCTCCACACTCTTCCAAATCAACAGAACTTAGTCTGTTTTGCTTGTGAGTGTTCTTTGGCTTGTTCTATTTAAAAACCCAGACCCTGGTTCAACCCAGTAAACCACACCTCCCCAGTTCGTCATGATGAATGAGAATGAATCAGAAAGCCCAGTTTAAGGTTGGAAACATTTCAGGTGGCAACACATAAAACAAATGTTTGAATGAATAAAGAAGCTTTGAGTTAATCAAAGGTGACGGTTTAACAAGATGTCTGAGGCCATTAGACTATACGTCTTGTCATTTTCTGTCAGTGGAAAAGATATATTCTTTGTTTTAGGTCAAACCGGTCACCACTTGTCTGAGCTGTTGAAATTTCGAAGAGAAGCGCAGCTTACACGAAGCAAAAATGCACATTCAGCCCTAATAACCTGAGCGCTTTTGGCTGAAATGATTTGCCTATTGGGAAGATTTGGTGTGTCTGATAATTAGCTGCATCAGTCGGCCATTAACACAATTCAAGGTCAAGATGGATTGTTTGGCTAAAGAAATGAAAAATGTGAGAAAAGGGTATATTGAGACTACTGGGTAAAGTTCATACACTTCTCCGGTTTAATCCATCTTGAAGGTAAAAATGTAAACATAAGAAACATCTGTAAAGCTGAACAAGCAAAAAACATAAAATCTATCCAATTGTGAAAAGTAGGAAAAGATGGTAAACAGATGCAGAGTTCCCCTTTACCCCCTCCCTAGTCTGAAAGCGTATTTCACACTGGACCCAGTCAAAATGTCCCAACCTTTCCTGGTAGCGGTTCCTGTGGAAGTAAGATACCGTTAACATATCTCTTAACTCAAACGCATCACAATGCTGACTCAGGCATGACAGTGAAACCTGGGTGACTTTCACCACCGCATGACTCAGGACGAATTTAAAATTAAGCTAATCTGACTCACGATAACATCTAAACAAATATGTTTTAATATTAAAACCACAACGCTCATTTAAAGTGTGTTAAATCTTACAACTGCAATAAAGATTGGATTTCACATCATTTTACTACATGAAAACTTCTATATGAGATTATTTCAAATTAAAGTTATACTAATAAGAGTAGAGGTGCGATACTACCAAAACAGAGATTGTAGAATCATCTGGAGCACATTTAAGGAAAAGGTGATTAGAATTTGTCAAATAATATTAGCTGAAATATTTTTTCTTTTAGGGCTGTTTATACAAGGACATTGTGTGGTTGTATTTGCTTACAAAAGAATAGTTTAGAAAAAACTAGTAAAAAATTATTTAAATTATTATTTCACCATTCAAAAACTGATTTATTTTATATCACCATATTTCACTGCTATATTTATGATAAAATAACAAAACTATAAATAAAAATTAAACATTTTATCTATGACTGCAGCTTGCAGGTCGCACCTTTTATTACTTGAAACTCATTTATCATCTTTTAGTCTCTATTATAAATTGTGCGGGATGACAGTCCATTGATAAAACTGCTCAATAAACTGTCACTTAATAAATTACAGCGCACACTCTGAATATAAATGTGCTTCACGACATATCGCAATTATTGCGATATTACAGTTAATTCGGTATTATTGTGAACATTTGACACCAGTTTCCATGCAAATGTGTTGTGTCTAATTTAACAGCACCTGAACTTAACCAGTTCAATTATGAACATTTAAAACGTGATTTTAAAACAGACTCGGTTGTTAATTTGTTTGGTGTTTGGACTGAGATGCATGCCAATCCTGTTTTCTGGGTGTAATTTGAGTTGGAGCGTGGAAAAACATCGTGTCCAAGTGAGCAGCAGTACTTACTCTCTGCGGTGGCGGGCCGAAGGCAGGACAGACACAGCATCAGACCCCAAAACAAGGTCAAGCGGCTCCCTTCCATCCCACACCTCATCCCTGCTAACCCAAGTCCCGCTGAAATCTTGTTTTTACTCTAATATTGGAGGAAGATGGTCGGAATGGTTAAAAACGGCTTTTAATCTGCAGCCTTGTAGCCGTTAGCCGGCTAATGGGGCTAATAGCTACAACAAACAGAGCAGGGACGCTGTCTCACGTTTCCCAATGGGAGTCCAGTCCTAAATTACCAATTTATCCCGCCGTCCAAACAGCGTGTACTCATAGTTCACCTTATCCTTGCCAAACACAGCCCCGCATCCAAGTGTTCAATGAAACCATATCGACTAAACTAGCGGTGGGGATTCCTCGGTAATCCACATCTTCCCACTCCATATCAGGAGGAAAAAACAGTCAACGTGCCGCCGCTGCTGGATGGTCTCTTTGGGAACAGCAACGAGACCACCCCTGAAACCGGACTTGGAAAAGGTGGACCGGGACACACGTTTAAACACGGCCTGGTTGTGTTAACGACACGACGTCTCTTTCGAAATTCCCAGGATAAAATCTGGTTGCAGACCGCAGCCTCCTCTCCTCCTCCTCAGCCGGTCAACACACACTGCGTTGTTGTGGTGGCCCCGATTCACCTCCCCGCAAACCAAAAAAACGCGCCTATTCGCCCCTGTTGCTTCGGGTGAGGCCAAATATGTTTGCTGCGTGTCGTTCTCTGTAGGTAGATAGCAGAACGGGCTCGGTAACTGGACAGATTAATGCACAGGTACACGCACGGTCTCCCTCGGTCAGTCTGCAGTCTTCTGCGTTCGCTGTAAACACGGCGCCGTGGCCAGAGATCGTCTGTGACGAAAAGATGTATCACTCCAAATCTGAGGAAAAGCAGGGCGTCGCTACTACTGCAGTTCAGACGCCGAAGGGAACCAGTTGCCATGGTGATCGGCCTCTTAATCACCACCAGTTGTCTCCTGATGTCGTTTCATGCATACATTCCACACAATAACCCCTTAATTTTACATAAAACATACCAAAGAGTCTTTATTATTTCTGTACTGAAATCATTACAAAAAAATCGTCCTCATTAGTCACAGAGAGTAGGGCTTTGATGTTACTAAATAATTAAAGAATAGACGAAAATAACGTGGTTTTACAAAAACGTTACATTTCTGTGTTGATTCGGGGCCCTAAATCCCCTATTTGCGTTTTGAAAATCAGACAGAGTGAGACCTCTCAACTCCACTCTGCCGAGACCACTCTTTTTTACAAGACTGTGCAAAGCAAATCCGTGATGCTGATCCAGGATCAGATTTGTTTTCCTGCTAACAAATGCACATTGGAGTGCCACAAGGATTGAGCGTGCTCGACTGCGCACGTGAAAATGCTTTATGGGGGTTGCCCTTTCATGGTTGGTGCGATCATTTAGGATCCAGTTGGTCTGATGATCGGTTAATATCTTTTAAAAGCTCCAGGAATGTTTCCCTAGATCCAGTAGAATATTCCAACCCTTAACATTGTCTTTTTTGTATTTTGCCACCTTTTAGACCTATTTCAAATAATTAAATTCTTGTTTTTTATTATAATAAACTTAATTAATTGAATGTAAATTAAAAATCGCATTTAACATTGAATCTAGAAATATGTTTTATTCTATTGTTAACAGGGGCGGACTGGCCATCTGTGGGTTCTGGAGAATCACAGAACGGCCGGTACCCCAGGACGGCCGGTGGGCCGGCCCACCACTCTCCACCGCTTTCAACACCTGTTTCCCCCACCCCCGAAAGCTCTTTCACGCTCCAGCACTCTAGGTGGCAGCACTGCACCTGTAAGTTGGATGCCAGGTACATTGGCTGTGTCTCAATTCAGGGTCTGCATCCTACCTCGGCCGGATTCGTCGGCCGGTTACGTCACAGCGCCGCGACTCGGCCTGTCCCAATTCGAAGACTCCTTCAAATGCGGTCGACGAATGCGGCCTTCTTTTCGCCTGAATGAAGGATGGGTCGGGTGTATCCTTCAATAGGTAGCATTTCCCAAGATGCCTTGCGGGCCGGCCGGCAGAAAAACTTAAAAACAATGGCGGACAGTGAAGGGGGAGCTGTCGGAGAGGATTGCGCATATACATGTAAGTATAAACTTGAAAACTGTCAGTTTAAGGACTTTTTGTGATACATGAACGTTATTTTAGTTAGAAATGTTACAGTAAAAGTGCTTGTATTGCGGTCTCGGCTCGTATGTTCGGCCGCGCTCGGTGTCGTACTTCTCCCACTACGTTTCCCCCTGATTTTAATAGAAGTTTGTATTTTAGGAACAAAAGAGAAAACCAGGGAATTTATTAAGCTTAGGACGGAGATGGACCACATGATCACCGGAGCAAAGTATTCGGCGGCTGTGGCATGGAGGTACAATAACATCTCATATTTTAAAAACTCGTTTGAGTTTATTTTTTTTCTGCGAAAACATGAAAGGAATAACCCGTTGTCCTCTTTTCTCTTCCTGTTTCTTTTCTTACATGTTTGTTAAGACTATTCTGGAGAAAATGGGCATCCAGGGGAAGGTGCCAGCGATGAGCTTCTGGAGCTGATCAGGGAGGACATGAGGCTGCAGAGGGAGGCAGAGCAGCAGGAGCCCAGGAGAGAAGGAAGAACTTTGACAGCTTTTTACTTTGCTAGAAAAAAATGGTTAAGGAAGATTAAACATGTACATGTAAAAGAAATATCTAAATAAAATCAGTTCTGCATTAAACTCTTGAATTTTATTTTTGTTTACAAATGAGAATTGTTTACTAGAAGGTATCCGCTGGGTCTTGAAAAGTCTTAAAAGGTGATAAATCGGTTTTGGTCAAATTAAGACCCTTAGAAAGTATTAAAAACTATTATCACATCTTTGCTCAGGCTCAGCTAGTCTAAAGTATTTTCTCTGAATTAGCTCTCCAACAGTCAAGGAAATGATTAACCCCCAGAGACCCACGGTTGTAATATTACAACATCAGATTTAAGTCTACAAGAATAAACCTTCCCCATTTTTTTTCTTTTTAAAACCACATTTACATTGCTAATAGGTCCTATTGTTCAGTTCTGCAACACTATTGGCTGTTAAAATGTGTAAATAGGCCCGTTTATCTGGCCTCCTAGAACATGTGAAAGGTTAAAAAAATATTTTGCAGTTGTTTTCTAAATTTGGGTTTCTGGGGGTTAAAAAGCTAAATAAAACGTCGAGCTCCATCGTTTAAAGTTCCTTCTCCCTTCTGCCCAGCGGTTCCACGGTTGCTAGGCGACGGAACGTTCGCCGAGGGAGTTCATGAAGGCTAGGCCTGTCCAAATTCACAGCCGTTAACATCCGGTCTACCCGGCCGACGGAGGACGCAGCCCACGTCGGCCGGGTGGGCTGGGTCCTTCGAAGGATGCAGACCCTGAATTGAGACACAGCCATTGGCTGTGGCCGCCAGGCAAGGAGAAGAAGAAGCTGAAGCGGAGAGGAGGCAAAGGCAGTGGTAGAAAAAAAAAAACAATGCAAAACCCGACCGCTCGTTTTAAAAGGAAAGACAATGGTGGGGCAGAGAAGGCAAGAGAAAAAATTGCGGGCATTAGATGCTGAAGCCTCTAAATGTCACAAATTAACCGACATATTTAGCAGCACAGCCAGCAGCAGCACCTCGCAGCAGGTTCACAGCAGCGAAGAAGCACACAGCAACATGCCAGCAACATGCCAGCAACATGCCAGCAGTAATGAGGGACAGAAAGATGCACTGGTTCCACAGGCAGATCCAGGGGAAGTAAGTATGGAATGTAAGAGGAGAAACATTTGCAAGGATTGATGTTAGGAATTCATGTTTAGGTTGCAATTTTATTTTATGATAACAGCTCAATTTCAACCTTTTAGCTGTAAAAGGCCACATGCAGTAAGAAATATGTTGTGGTTTTACATAAAAAGGTTGGTAGTAGTGTTACAGTTAATGCTCACAAACTTTGAAAATCTTAAATACAGAAGTTACATTTGCAATGTTGCATTTTCATTTAGATGTGGTTTATTAGTGCAGTAAGAAGATTAATTACTGCATAAACTATTAAGCTTATCAGTAATACAGCTTTTAATACAGCATATAGTTAAATTATAGCAACATTAGCGCTGTTGCTATAATTTTGATGGTTTGGCCACATATTTTTGCTGCCAAATTTCTGCTCGCCGATTTCTTTGGGCCGGGCCTAGTCAAAGTCCAGGGCTGTTTTTTAGTCCCAGTCCGTCCCTGATTGTAAAGAAAAACCGAGATACCAACTGATACGACACTTAATGAAGTGTTGAAACAGAGTTGTTTTAACATTCACACCTGGGTATTATTTAAAATGCCATGAGTCATCAACTCTGAAACAAACAGGTTTAAATATCTAAAATGGAGTCACAACATAACAGCATGTGAAGGAAAGCATAAATCACCTCCCTGTGGTAAAACATGGCAATGGAAGCAAAATAATGTGGGGATGCAACAGGCTGGGAGACTAGAAAAATAGATTCAGGCTGCAGTAAAAGTAGCAGCAAGTATGGACACACGGTTCACAAACTGTGTGAGAGAAGTAGAAAATATTCACGTTTCAATTAATGATTAGTATTTTTCTAAATTATCTGCTGAAATATTGCATCATTTGGTATGGCCTCTGAAGCCGAGGTGAATCTACTACATTAACATTGAACTCTTTTTATGGAAAATGCACGGAATTGGCGCCATCTTGAGGAGGAAAGAAGTAACTGCAGCCATGCCGTTGGCAAAACAAGGTAGAGGTGAAGTTGATCCGAATAAGAATGGATCGTCTTTTGATAAATAGCTGATACATTTTTTATATTTTGGAGGCTGTTATTTGTGCGAATGTAGACTTGTCAAACTTTATTATTAATAATTTTAGTTTTCTGCAGCATATGGAAGTGTCAGCTCACAAAACCAACACAGTCTCGTAGCACCCTTGTTATCCAGATGTATGTGGAGGTTAAACAGTACCCACAGTGGACTTGATCCATCTGATCTGGATCAGGCAGGTACACTTGTAGTGATGTTTGGAGGTTTGCTAGCCCAACCTTAGGAGGTAGAGACCAGCAGTCTGTGAGGCCATAAGAGAAGCAGACAGTAAACACAAACATCCATAGAGGAGCCTCTCACAGTTTTGATTATCCCTGTAATTACAGGCTGCTTTCATCACTCCACGGAGCTGAGCACAGAGGTATTATTTGAACGCCACACATTACCTCAGCCCTGGCAGACAGCACCCAGCATCCGTCACAGTCTGACAATTAGCAGCAAGAGAAAAAGGGGGGGATGCACATTAAAAATTGAAGTGAGTATTAACAGCCACCCAAGAGTCTAGATACAGCGAGTCAGCCTGTAACAAACGGTCTCTGTACCAACATGACCCCACTGTGCCAGAGAATGTTGTGCCTGTCCACTTGCATTTGTTAAGTCCCGATTAAAGTCCTCATGAAGGCAGCCGGCAGGCCCACCTACCTCGACTGTCCCGGTGAAATCCATTCTCACTCTGCACTCATGTGGAAATAAGCCTGTTTACCACCGGCGGGTCACACATGCTAATGAGCGTCTGTTTGTTTTCCAGTGTGCTCACGCGGGAGGAAAGGAATTCAGGGAGGAAATAATAGACGATATGCAGACAACAACCCAGGTGGCCTTGGCTGCAGCTCTAGTGATGAGAGCTTACAGGAAATGTGCTCAGACTGTGTTTATTATAACCATATCAGAGTAGTGGCATAGCTGGAGGTCAGTACATGTTTCACACAGGTCACTCATTCACTTGTAATGAGCTCCCAGTTAAGATGCGGTCCTAGAATCACCTACATGGGTCTGGTCTTTAGTTCCCTGGTCCTTATGGAGGCCTTTTAAGGTTTCTGAAGCAGACTTCTTCTCAGTTTTAAATGTCAAGTTCTTCTATTGGCCCAGAGACAGAAAAACAGGACTAGAGCTGATTCTCAGTACTAATGGAATCAGCGTCCAATCGGACAGATTAGATTAGTGTCACTCAAAGCAGGCACCAATGGAAGTGGGGCTACGGCCCAGTGCTGAAAGAGCATCAGGCCTAAAACAGGATCTTAAAATTATGAAAACAAAAATGAGAAAAAAAAACAAGACCTGAGAGATGCACCATCATTCAGCTGATCGTCTACATCTGTGGTGAGTTTTCAGAAATCCCCTGGGTGGGTCTCTTTTCTCTTTGAAATAATGTTTATCTTCAGCAATAACTGTATAGGTTCATGAACTGTCAAAAAATTCAATTTGTTAAATTCAATTTTGCTATTTTTTGTCAAGTTATGTGTGGACATCTCTTCAGTGTAAGAGCTTTTTTTTATGAGCGAATGATTCACAGGTGAGAGTTTAGTGTCTTAAAAACATCCATGAAGCATAAAGAATTATAGATTAAGACCTTGTTAGAAAGTTTAGCTCATTTGAAGATTAAATAATAGAATTTAAGACCCCCCCTAGCTGCTAATGGTGGTTACAGGGTCTAGCAAGTTTAATGCAACAGGGATACTACTACTACTACTACTACTAATACTAATACTACTAATAATAATACCAATACTACTACTACTACTACTAATAATAATCTACATACTAAAAGGGCCCTGTTGCGAGTCTAGAAAAGCTACTTATGGATGCTGGTAACTGGATTACATGGGCTCTCAGGGCCTGATTACTAACACAAGTGCAAGTTCTCACCTTTGAAGGGACTCTGTACTGTCCTCATGAACGGGTTGCAGGTTTAACTCCCTCCTTTAGCCTTTCTGTGTACTGTCTGACCTCCTATAGTAGTGATGATTCTCCAGGTACTCAAGGAAGTACCCCCACCCCTCGAACCCAAAAACATACATGATAGGTTAAAGCAGCCCAGTCTGGGTGAATGGTTAGACTGGTGACCTGTTAAGGATGCATTGTGCTTCTCACTAATGAATGCTAGGAATCAGCTTCCTGTGACCCCAAACAGGACCAGACAGATAAGTGAGATTTGGATTAGAAGACAGAACTCTGCTCCCAGGTTATGCTCCCCCTGAAGTGACCCCCTGTACCTTTGACTAAGTAAAATTAATATTTTAAATTGGCAACATGTGTCATTTTCATTTTTCATGTCCAAATTTTTGCATACTATACAGCAGGAGGCTGACGCTAACAATACATTTAGTCTGCTTCCATCGTTACAGTTTAACAGCCCCTCCTCATGTCTAGAATAGATTACTGCAATTCTCTCTATTATGGTCTTGGCAAATCTTCCGTCCATCGCCTACAGCAGGGGTGTCAAACTCACACGGGGTCGAAATGAAACTCTGGGACGGAGTCGAGGGCCAAACTTAATATTTTTTGAAAAAGTGACGGCAAATTTTCACATTTTCTTTAGCAACATATCTGCAGTTTTTAACCTTTTAATTTGGAAACAAACTTATTTTTTCATTAACACTGAATGTGGAATAACCAAATTACACACAAGCAAGTCAGTTTTAAATAAAAGGCATCAGTGGTATTCATTACTTGTGGTATATTCAGCATTTTTAAAATCTTTTAAATCTTTTAAATCTTTTCTCACGTGCCAACAACAACAAAAAAAATCAATTTATCTTAAATGAAAATGCAACATCTCACCTGTTAACTTTCATGTTTTGGAGCAGAAAAAGAGCATAAAACCAACATATTTAAAGCTCAGTTTGCTCCACTGGTTTACTGTGATGCTCACCTGTTCCAGCCAGATACCTGCATCATGGGGTTGATCTGAGCTGAGGAGGAGACTCCTGTTGTTTTGTTCATCTTCATCATAATAACGACAACATTAGATGACAACAGCTGCTCACGTAGGTTTATGCTGATGAACATGTCTGAGCAGCTTGACCACGTTGTTGTGTGTCGGGGAGGAAACACGACAGCAGCCACAGAGCCGTGCTGGCTTGAGCGTGTCGCTGCTCGCTGGAGTTATATCAGCTCTGTCTGGACGTTAGTTGGAAAACTTTCTCTTTCAGTCGTGAACACATTACTGAGCGGCTAGAATCTCAGTTTCTGGGCTTCAACGTCAGTAAACAGCTGAGTGAACTCGGCGCTGAGTGAGAGGAGTGTAGTTTGTCCGAGACAGCGGAGCTGCAGAGACCGGCAGCAGGCGCTGGAAAAACACAAAGGAGGGGTCTTCGTCGGCTCCGCGCTGACGCCGCAAAGCATCATGGGAGTTGTAGTCTTTGCTGTAAAATCGGCCAGCGGGCCAGTTTTAATATATTTTTGATATTTATCTCGCGGGCCACATAAAAATGCTCCGCGGGCCTTGAGTCTGACATATGTGGCCTACAGGTTGTACAGAATGCAGCTGCTCATCTGTTGTCAAGGAGAAAACGCAGAGAGCATATTACTCCGGTCCTGTCAGACCTCCACTGGCTCCCTGTAGAATACAGGATAAAATTTAAAATGTATTATTATGTTTTAAAGCTGGTTTGGCGCCTTCTTATTTGGCTGAGCTTCTTATTGTTCACACTCCCACGAGGGCCTTTAGATCCTCATCTAAACATCTCCTGAGAGTTCCACCATCATGGCTAAAGTCTAGGGGGGATCGAGCGTTTTCTATAGCTGTTCGTAGCTTTAAATCTCTTTTAAAGACACACCTTTTTTACTCTCGCTTTTAATTTATCTTAACCTTGATTTATATGTATTTGTCCTCTTTTTGTTGTGTTGTTGCTCTTTTTGTTTGTTGTTTGCTGATGTACAGCACTTTGGGCAATCTTCATATTGTATTTAAATGTGCTTCATAAATAAACGTGACATTGTCATTGACATTGCAGGATGGCATCCCATCGTTCAGCCAGTCTGAAGTTAGCCGCTGTGGTTGTGTTGGTCACCCTGGCACAAGCAACAGTTATGTAGGCATGAACCCACAAACTCAGCTCTCTTCTTCAACCCACAAAAAACATTTCCTTACAAACGTGGGACCATTTAAGGGGAAGTAATCAGAATTTGGGTTTATTTCCAAGCAGCATTGTTACACCTAAGACAGGAATGAAATTTCTTCATTCTATTTATATGAATATCAGGTATTTCGATGTTAGACCTAACAAGCCTTGCTTCAAGCTTCTAGTATTTAATATTTCAGTATTGTTCACAAATGTGTACGACAAAGACAAAAACACCACACTCACTCACCCTGCTGCACAGTTTTTATTTTATCTTTATACACACAAATGTCTTCGTCTTCGTCTTCCTCCGCTTATCCGGGTCCGGGTCGCGGGGGCAGCATCCCAATTAGGGAGCTCCAGGCCGTCCTCTCCCCGGCCTTGTCCACCAGCTCCTCCGGCAGGACCCCAAGGCGTTCCCGGACCAGATTGGAGATGTAACCTCTCCAACGTGTCCTGGGTCGACCCGGGGGCCTTCTGCCGGCAGGACATGCCCGAAACACCTCCCCGGGGAGGCGTCCAGGAGGCATCCTGACCAGATGCCCAAACCACCTCAACTGGCTCCTTTCGATCCGGAGGAGCAGCGGTTCTACTCCGAGTCCCTCCCGAATGTCCGAGCTCCTCACCCTATCTCTAAGGCTGAGCCCGGCCACCCTACGGAGGAAACTCATTTCGGCCGCTTGTATCCGCGATCTCGTTCTTTCGGTCATTACCCAAAGCTCATGACCATAGGTGAGGATTGGGACGTAGATCGACCGGTAAATCGAGAGCCTGGCTTTCTGGCTCAGCTCCCTCTTCCCCACGACAGATCGGCTCAGCGTCCGCATCACTGCAGACGCCGAACCAATCCGCCTGTCGATCTCCCGATCCCTCCTACCCTCACTCGTGAACAAGACCCCGAGATACTTAAACTCCTCCACTTGAGGTAGGACCTCTCCCCCAACCCGGAGGTGGCAAGCCACCCTTTTCCGGTCGAGAACCATGGTCTCAGATTTGGAGGTGCTGATCCTCATCCCAGCCGCTTCACATTCGGCCGCGAACCTACCCAGCAAGAGCTGAAGGTCAGAGCTGGATGAAGCTAGGAGGACCACATCATCCGCAAAAAGCAGAGACGAGATTCTCCTGCCACCAAACACGACACACTCCACACCACGGCTGCGTCTAGAAATTCTGTCCATAAAAGTGATGAACAGAACCGGTGACAAAGGGCAGCCCTGGCGGAGTCCAACCCTCACTGGGAACAGGTCCGACTTACTACCGGCTATGCGGACCAAACTCACGCTCCTCTGGTAAAGGGACTGAATGGCCCTTAACAGAAAGCCACCCACCCCATACTCCTGGAGCGTCCCCCACAGGGTGCCCCTGGGGACACGGTCATAAGCCTTCTCCAAATCCACAAAGCACATGTGGATTGGTTGGGCAAACTCCCATGCCCCCTCCATCACCCTTGCAAGGGTATAGAGCTGGTCCACAGTTCCACGGCCAGGACGAAAACCACATTGCTCCTCCTCTATCTGAGATTCAACTATCGATCGGACCCTCCTCTCCAGTACCTTGGCGTAGACCTTTCCCGGGAGGCTGAGGAGTGTGATCCCCCTATAGTTGGAACACACCCTCAGGTCACCCTTCTTAAAGATGGGGACCACCACCCCGGTCTGCCACTCCCTAGGAACTGCCCCCAATGACCACGCAATGTTGTAGAGACGTGTCAACCATGACAGCCCTACAACATCCATAGCCTTGAGATACCCAGGACGAACCTCATCCGCCCCCGGGGCTCCGCCGCTGTGTAGTTGTTTGACTACCTCAGCAACTTCTGCCCCCGAGATCGGACAGTCCATCCCCAGGCCTCCCAGCTCTGGTTCCTCCTCGGAATGCGCATTGGTGGGATTGAGGAGCTCCTCAAAGTATTCCTTCCACCGTCCGACTATAGCCTCAGTTGACGTCAGCAGCTCCCCATCCCCACTGTAAACAGTGTGAGCGAGTTGCTGCCTTCCTCTCCTGAGGCGCCGGACAGTTTGCCAGAACCTCTTTGGAGCCGATCGATAGTCTTTCTCCATGGCCTCACCAAACTCCTCCCACGCCCGAGATTTTGCCTCGGCAACTGCCACTGCTGCACCCCGCTTGGCTATCCGGTACCTGTCTGCTGCCTCCGGAGACCCACAGACCAGCCACGCCCTGTAGGCCTCCTTCTTCAGCCTGACGGCTCCCCGAACCTCTGGTGTCCACCAGCGGGTACGGGGGTTGCCACCACGACTGGCACCGGCCACCTTACGACCACAGCTAGCAACAGCCGCCTCGACAATCGCAGAGTGGAACAAGGCCCACTCGGTCTCAATGTCCCCCACTGCTCTCGGGACGTGGTCAAAGCTCTGCCGGAGGTGGGAGTTGAAGACCGTCTTGACAGGTTCTTCTGCCAGGCGTTCCCAGCAGACCCTCACTATGCGTTTGGGTCTGCCAGGTCTACGCGGCATGTTCCCTTGCCATCTGATCCAACTCACCACCAGGTGGTGATCAGTTGACAGCTCCGCCCCTCTCTTCACTCGGGTGTCCAAAACATACGGCCGCAGGTCAGATGATACGACTACAAAATCTATCATCGACCTGTGACCTAGGCTGCCCTGGTACCAAGTGTACCGGTGGGCATCCTTATGTTCGAACATGGTGTTCGTTATGGCCAAACTGTGGCTTGCACATAAGTCCAATAACGAAACACCACTTGAGTTCAGATTAGGTGGGCCGTTCCTCCCAATCACACCCCTCCAGGTCAAGCTGTCATTGCCCACGTGAGCATTGAAGTCCCCCAGCAGGACAATGGAGTCCCCTGATGGAGCACTATCTAGCACTCGTCCCAGGGACTCCAAAAAGGGTGGGTACTCTGAACTGATATTTGGCCCATAAGCACAAACAACAGTCAGGACCCGTTCCCCGACCCGAAGGCGCAAGGAAGCTACCCTCTTGTCCCCCGGGGTAAACCCCAACACACAGGCAGAGAGTCTCGGGGCTAACAAAAAGCCAACCCCAGCCCTCCGCCTCTCACCCGGAGCAACTCCAGCAAAGTAGAGTGTCCAACCCCTCTCCAGGTCTCGGGTTCCAGAGCCAATGCAATGTGTCGAGGTGAGTCCGACTATATCTAGCCGGTACCTATCAGGTATTTCGATGTTAGACCTAACAAGCCTTGCTTCAAGCTTCTAGTATTTAATATTTCAGTATTGTTCACAAATGTGTACGACAAAGACAAAAACACCACACTCACTCACCCTGCTGCACAGTTTTTATTTTATCTTTATACACACAAATGTATTTCCTTTTTCTTTTTGTCATACGAACATGCCCCTCCTCACTGGTGTCATGGGTTCATGTGCTTATTCCATCCATCCATCCATACATCCACCTTCAGCCACTTACCCACCGGAGTCTGGTTGCGGGGCAGCAGCCTAAGCCGAGAGGCCCAGACTTCCCTCTGTCCAGCCATTTGGGCCAGCTCCTCCAGGGGAATCCTAAGGTGTTCCCTGTCCAGCCGAGAGACATGGTCTCTCCAGCCTGTCCTGGGCCTTCCTTTAGGTCTTCCCCTGGTTGGACGTGCCTGGAAAACCTCTCCAGGGAGGCGTCCAGGAGACATTGTGACAAGATGCCCGAGTCACCTCAACGGGCTCCTCTCAACGTGGAGGAGCAGCGGGTCTACTCCAAGCCCCTCCCGGATGACTGAGCTTCTCACCCTATCTCTAAGGGAGAGGCCAGCTGCCCTCATTTCGGCTGCTTGTATCCACAATCTCGTTCTTTCGGTCACTACCCAAAGCTCGTGACGACAGGTGAGGGTAGGACCGTAGATCGACCGGTAAATAGGTCGATCTACATTCATGTGCTTTATTAATTAATTGCAGAATTTATTTATTTATTCCCTTTAGAAACTCTCAGTAAAGCAAATGATCAAACAAACTTGGTATCTTTTTTTTAATGGAGGAAAGTAATATTCAGGGCAGCAATGTAGAAGAATAATCCACCAAAATGAAGGTGCAGAGGCACAAACTAGCATCTATAAAAACAAAAACATTGAAGTATTCTTGTACGTTTGTTCTGCTGCTCCTGCAATCAAGATTCTGTATCTCAGTCAGGTTTGTGTCTTTAAATAAATAAAAATATTATGATTATCATTGAGGACTGTCTTTGATGTATGTTTTACTCTTCAGAGATGCTGGAGCAGTCATCTATGTAGTCTTTAACTCACAACCTCTAAACGTATTCCAGCTACAGTTAGGCATGATCTGATCAGCTGATTGCTTCTTTGGTGAGCTTTCTAAACTCCTGCTGAATATTTGTCTTGTTTTAAAGCTAAAACCACATCACATTGTGTCTTTATTCCAGGAAGCGAATACTCATCTTGTGATCGATGTTCACTTTTTCCATTGACTGAAAAGAGAAAGGAAAGAAATTGCTGATTTACAAATTTTCTTTTTTAGGAAAACTCACCAAGACATCAAATCACTGAAGAAGTTTAGCTCATTGTTGAACGATACTGATTCCCTCAACTCTCAATGCATTATTGTGCATTTTGTTCTTTGATAAGTGAGAAGCTAAGTGGAAATAAGGACCTCCAGTTAACCCTGTAGTGATTAAACGGCTGACCTTTCTGAACTCATCAAAGGAGATGGCATCATCTTTATCCTGGTTGGCCTCCTGGTTGGCCTCCTGGATGGCCCGCTCTGCGATGCTCTGCAGCTGCTCCTCTGTCACCTGCATTCCCAGCATTTCTCTCAGCACCTTGCAGACCGACACAGACCGCTTTGGTTAACCACCATCTCTCTTATCTGCAGAGCTATCTGATCTGGGGCCTCGCAGTGAGACAATCTTATCTGGTTGGTTCCAACATGCCACCTGATGTTAAATCAGCAGAGTCTAAAACGTTGTCAAACACACCTCGCTCACCACCTCTGTGAACTCCTGCTAAGATATTTGCACATCACCGCATCCAGGAAATATTTGTTTATATATTTCATCATCTCCTTATTTTTCTTGTATCGTGTTTTTTTTATCCACCATCTGAGCTTCACTGCATTCACATACAGTGACAATGAAAACTTTCTGATTCTGATGAGCACCTCCGCTTTTCCTTTGAATTTGAACATACGAAGGAAGCATTTGATGGTTTGACCTTAGGCTTCTGGATGGAGTGTGGATGTGTAAAAGGTCCTGGCAGTTAGATGGGCCCAGATCAAGTAGAGCCTTAACCACTAACATCCTGTATTGGATGAGGAGCCAATGGCAGCACCGGTGTTATACGCTCATGTTTTCTTGTAGGATGAGCAGCAGAATTCTGTAGGACTTGTAGATGATGGAGGATGGATCTAAAGCCTTATGGAAGGATCTGCAATGAGATAAGTCCTTGGGGAAGAAGACTTTCATTTAGCTAAGATCTGCTGAAAGAAACCTGGACAACTGTACCAAATGAATTTATGAGAGGTTTGAAAACCGAATCCAAAATTTTTAACAGAAAATTGACTGAATGGTGCTAAGGTTAAGGTTAGGTATAATGCAGTCACTAAAATGAATGGAAGTCAGTGACCATCCTCACAACTATTTGTGATATGAGAGTATGTGTGTGCATGCAAGTGCATGTGTGTGCGTATGGGAGAACTGTTCTTGGGCTTATTATTGAGCTGAAGTTGCAACCAAGTGGCAAACTTTGCCTGTAGAAGGTGAAGCCAACGTGGAAGTGAGAGTAATTTTTCTGGCTAAAAGCACCCACAAACCTCCATCAGCCTCGGTTAGCTCAGTTAACTAGTGGCTACATCAGCTCAGAGTTGGTGAGTGTCAATATTCTGCCTACACCCTCACAGCTCCACCTCTTGATCCATTTTTCAAATGTCTGGGAACGGTGAGACGTGTGACACGGCCAAGATGTTTGTGGGAACCACCCACTGGACTTCAGTTCAGCTAATCAGAAACCTACGGGTGACGTCAAGGAGGGTTTCTCCATCTTACACTTATAGTCACTGGTTGCAATATATTTTTCAGCGTAACTTGTGTGTTTGTCTCAACTGAAGCAGTGGTAATAACCCCAGACCCAAGATCAGTGCACTGAGATCATCTGATGAGTCATTACTGAAGCCAGATCTATATACACTGAGCACAGAGCAGGTGTTTATCAGTAAATAATGGTATACTAATAATTGCTACAGACCTGCAGGAGCTCTGCTCTCGAAATCTTTCCATCTCTGTCCTGATCATACAGCTGAAACATAACTGAAGATGTAGAGTTTGAGTTATTTTCATAAAGAATATTCAAACCATTGGTAAATAAATAAATACGACTGACATTTGAGCCTCCTGGCAGTGCTGTTGGCTGGCTCTTTCTGTGCTCCATCTCTGATCCGGTCGTTCTCAGTGTGACGAAAGTGAGCCAGGACTTGGACAAAAGAGGGAAAGTCCACCGTTTCCTGTCTGTGGGACGAAAGGAAGGGGTACGTTTTCCCGCTTCCTGCTCATACTCAAGACAAACAGCTCTAATCACACTGCTGTCACCATGTTCAACCATCACAACTCAAATCATTGTAAGCATGAGATATGAATCATCTCACATCTCAAACAGCAGAACACGTGTAAATAAAATGTGGTGGTGAACCCAGAACCATAACTCGTGTGTTTGCCTTCATGAAGAATAGTTCTGTGAAAATAATTGTGATTTTTCTGAATGAAGGAGTCAGTCATCATCTGTCTATTGCCTGGCTCTGAATGGTTCTTTCTGCGTTTCTCTGACTGTTCCCTGACAAACATCTAGGACAGATGTTGGTGTTTGTTCCTTATCCTTCCCCTATGTACAACTTTTAAGAAAAAACAACATGCAAAAAATAAATAAATAAACATCCTTTTACACAGTGTTGCCTGAACATACGAAGGACAGTGGTGTGGTGCACTAACTGATCACCATGATGATGTACTGTAGCGTGATGAACTTACTCCACCTTAGTTACATTATACACATAGTGTTTAAAGTTAGTCTTGTTTAAATTGTTTAGAAATAAATCTTCTTAAACTTTAAAACTTGACTCTCTCTCGTCTCTGGGTTAATACGAAGCGTTATGTAATCCCTGCAATAAAAAGTTCTGATCTTCTGGTTAAAGTAATATTCAAAGATCCACCAAATTGATTTCATATGGAATCTCACATTTTATGGGCCAAGATGTAACTAACGAATCGTTACAGTACCCTGGTGAGAAAAAGGAACCAATGATTCTGTCTCCAACAGGATTCATGGAAAGCTCCCGAACAGCTTGAAAATCCTCCTTCCTGAAACAAACGGAGGAAGGAACAAAGCAGTTATGGTCCTGATCTGTCCTAAACACCACATCAGTGATGAGCTGCAACAAATGAAACAATTAAAACAACAAGATTTGCATCAAATCCTTTCTATAATCCAAAAAGGGACATTTGGGTTTAACCTACAGCATGTAAAGCTACTCTTATAAATGGATAATAGAGAGTTTATAGATATCAGTAATTATTACTTTGGAAATCATTCATAAGTGTTTATTGTTCATTTATTAAGGGTGAGGAAGAGGCCTAACTGATGGGTTTCTTGCTAAATAGTGAGTTAACTCTGTTTCCCTTTCAAATGTCTGCTCCAACATCACAAGTCTGACTCTGAAATATGAGAATGAAGACATATTCCTTTTATTACTATTTTAAAAGTAACACCACTAAACACATGCCAACCAGTTATGGTGAATTATGGCAACATTTTAGTATTGTCACCTCACATATGGCCAGTGGAGGGTGGTGTTTAGCCCCAAGGTGGTGGTTTATGTGCAGGCGTACCATCAAAGCCAACAAATAATTCAGTAAAGCAGCTTTTAAAAGGCCAAAAGTCTAATGAGACACATTTTAAACATCCAGAATTATTAAAATGGAGACAATAATATGAATACTTTCTTCGTTTTGACAGGTTTGTTTGTACTTCAGATGTTCTGAACCAACCTGAGGTGTCCTCGGTTTTCTCTGTCCAGAGACTCAAACCTCTCGTAGAGCCGGAGGAGGTGGGAGGAGGAGACTGAAACACATAAAACAGCTGATTGTGTTAAAGAGGAGAGCATCAGTCGGTGCCTGCTGCTTTTCTGGAGAAAAGTGGCTTCAATGCTGCTTTCCTTGACATCAGGCCATTCAGTAAAACTGTATCTAAATAGAATGAGGTTGTCTGTTTTAGTGTTTTTATTCTATATAAATCTACATAAATATTTGATCAAAGCTGTTTCCATTGAGGTCAACGATCAGTTTTCTGATATGTTTTGCTCTTCTAAATCAAGTGCAGCACTGTGGTGTTGAGAGAAAGGAAACTGGAACACCAACGGCTTTATTTTATCTGCTTCACCACGTCTGCAGCAGCGTGTGTATCGGTGAGGACAGCTCAGGGAGTCGACACAGATGAAGAAAACAGATGATGAGTTGAACACGGCAGATGCAGGGGCCCACAGACACAAACAAGGCCGGGAGATCACCCAGTCTTTACGTTCTGACCCGTTTCTATAAAGAGAGTCTAACAACCAACCCAAAACAAAATCCACTTTTAAACTGAAAATTAAGCGGAGGAAGACGACGAAGACGAAACTGAAAATTATTGTCCAGTCTTTTGTTTTTTTAACCATCCAGCTGTTTCAGACTATCGCTGCACCAGAGTCTAAACAAAACACACATTACTGATCTGCTCTACCTTTTCTCATCTATTCTGGATTTAGAGAAAGATAGAAAATAACAAACTCACAACCAGTTTCCTGCACGAGTTTCTGAGCGTTTGGGACGTTCTTCACGTTGGAGCTGCAGGAACCCATCTTTCTGCACAAACATACAGCCAAATGATCGCTTCCTTCAAGGTGTTTTGCATCTGTCTGCAGCTGCAGGCTGAGCAGGACAACTGGAGCTTTGGGTCTGTGCTCTGCTCTGACCGACTGCAGGGCAGTACCGACATGCTGCTCAGCCAATCATGTCTCAGCAGACCGGGTCACTGAACCTGCAGCAGTAATGTGGCTGGCAGATTTAACTGTGGGGGAAAAAATGACTTTCATGTACTTAAGTTTTACCTTCTTTGCAGAACAGCTATTGTCTTTTAAAATGTTAAGGTCAAATTATGCATGCCAATTCTTAAAGTGTCTTCCACCCTTAAAGTACTAAATGACATCGTATGCGCCATTGACAATAATGGGCTGCGTTTGTTGACTTGGCTACAGCCTTTGACTCTGTAGACCGTAGCATCTTACTTAGCAGGTTCAAACATAATGGACTTTCTCAAGCATCCGTGGCATGGTTTAGAAATTATATCTTAGGCCATACGCAAACAGTGAGAACAGAGGATTACCAATCTGCTTCTCTACCTCTATCTTTGGGCATTCCTCAAAGGTCGATACTGGGCCGAACCTCATTTAAAATCTATATTAATAACATTGTTCATGCTGTTGACAGTTCTCATATACATTTATATGCAGATGACACCATTTTATATTTATGCAGTTCTTCCTTGAACACAAATTTGTCCTCACAACTTTAATTGTCTTCAACATGCCTTCTCCAACCTTCATTTTCATTTAAACACAAGTAAAACAAAGTTCATGATTTTCAACTGTAACTTACCGCAATCAACTATCCACCCTAGTATTGTTTCCCTGGATGGTACAGAACTACATCTTGACGGTTCTTACAAGTATTAGGGTAGGGTTTCCCTTTTAACCCTTGAGTGTGTGGCATATTTTACATGTGCATGAACACTATCTTTGGTCAGGTGGCAGGTCCCTTTTTAAAACTTCTTCAGGAATTTTCTAGTTCTATTTCTATTCCAGTAACATGTAATTATTTAACAGCTTAACCCTTTGATGCATAATGGTCACTACAGTGGAAAGGTACTCAGAATTGTTATTATTATTATTTTATTATTATTATTTGCATTATTAAGCACAGCTGTTGAAGACTTTATAGTATTTGAGCTCTTCCATTTGGACTTCAGTAAGTTAAGCCAACATATTTCATGTTCAGAATGCACGCTGTCCACTGAGGTGGACAGGTAATGCATGTAAATGATTAAATGTTAGAAAAATATTTGTTGAAATTTGTTTCATTCACACCTAAAGATGAATGAAAACAATTGCTAAAAAAATCATGGTTGATTTCTTTCTTCTTTTTTTTCGTGTCCTGTCCGGCTGTGAAGCAAGCAGAATTGATGTCTGAATGCTGGTAACAAGCCTTACGGATTTACTCTCAGGTGGCGCATCAAAGCGTCTGCGTTTAATGTCACGCCTGACACTTAAAACTTTATTGTTATTGTTTTTGAATGCTTTATAATTCTGACCAGACACGGAGTCAGAGGTGAAAGAGAAAGGAAGAGACAAGGGGGGGGGGGGGGGGGGGGGGTCCCACAAAAATAAACAATAATGAATAAGAGTCTGCTTCTAGACCTGCAGAAAGAGAGAAGAAGAAGAGAAAAAAAAAGGACACAGCAACAATACAACATGATCAAGCTATCGCTGCCTCAACTTGATGGAGAAATATATAATCAACATTGTTTAACTGAACAATCACACGATAATAAATCACAATGCATTAAGTGCCCACCATAGTCTTAAGACATGTGTTGAACGTGCCCAAGTCCATACTTATGAGAGCACCATGTGAGCACCTGTGTGTGTACACGCGCTTGTTTATGTGAGTTTTCTCTATAGGAGCGCCCAATAGAGAGTGTGAGGGGCCACAGATCTGCCCCCTAAAGATGTGCAGGAGACAGGGTGAGCTCCAAGTCCCAGAGATCCAGGCGCTGCCCCAGAGCACAGGAACCCCAGGGAGACTGCGACCAGAAAAGCCCCCGCCCCCCTCGAGAGGCACAGAGGATCGCCCCGGGGGGCCACAACCAGCAGCCGGCAGAGTCCCGGGAGATATCAGCGGCAAGCCCACAGGCCCGCCCGCAGCCTCCCACCCCCTAGCCGGCCGAGCCCAGGACCCAGCGACCTGGGACCCAGGGGCGACCACCCCCGTCGCGGACCCAGCAGAGCCCAGGGACCCAGGCCCCACCAGGCAGCCACTGGGATTGGTCAGGCAGATGCCAAAAATCTTAAACTCCCTGACCCGGGATCCACAACCCAGGCAGACCAAGGCACAACCCCTCACACCAGGTGTGGCAGGGAGAGGGGAGACGAAGATCTTTATCATCAACAGAAGTCCCAGGAGAAGGGAGGAGTCAAAGGCCCCACCTGACATATACAGTCATACACAAACACAGTCACACACTCCCTCCCTCATGCTCACACATACACATACAACCAAAGACTTACAAAAATGCACGCCGGACACCCACTCATGCTCCCCATACACACCCTATTCACTCTGGTCCCGGTACTGCTGCACATGGGGTGCAACCATCACCGGTTCCCAGAGTTCAACCCTTTCTGCTGGGGTGCTGATGAGCAGGCTCCCCCGCCCAACGCTGAGCACAGCAACCCACCACCCCAGACCCCAACCAGACGGCCGGATCTCCCTCCTAGCCTCCAGTCCCAGGAAGCCAAGCAACAACAGAGGTGTGCTAAGACCCCTAGTCTCCCTCCGCCTGCTCCAATATGGTGTTAGTGAGTGTTGATGAGGTGTATTCCATGGCTGCGGTGAGCGGGCAGTGCGGGCATCGTCTGGCCTATGCCAGCTGATGCCACCACACCACCCCACTAGCACCCACAGTCCTCAGTGTCTAAGTGCAGTTTAAAATTGGAAGTGGGCACCAGCACTCGGGATAAGGCTGAGAAATCCCCCTGCCAACTGCCGTTGAATGTGCTCACTCCCAAGGCCCTAATTGTGTGTTTGCATGGAATGTCGTTGGTGGAAGTGTGTAAGGTGCAAATAAAATTGGGGAGCAGGTTGCCACAGAAATGCGAAAATGGGGTCCATACCCGCACCCCTGACTTGTCCACCCCCCAAGGTCCTATGTGCATGTTTGTGTGATGATGTGAGGGAGCAGGAGGAGAGAAATGTGTGGGGATGGGGAGGAATGGCATGGTTTAAGATTTCATAATTTATGCATCAAAGGGTTAAGTTAGATTGGTTCCTCAGGGTCTTAAAAAGTTTCAACCAAAAGAAAAAATATGGATTTAAGGCCAATGTAAAAATGGCCATTTTTAGGTTTCTCCAAAGATGCTCAATTGGGTCAGGGCTCTCTGGCTGGGACATTCAAGAAGTCACAGAGTTACCGTGAAGCCACTCCTTCGTTATTTTAGCTGTGTGTTTAGGGTCATTGTCGTGTTGGAAGGTAAACCTTCAGTCCAGTCTGAGGTCCTGAGCACTCTGGAGAAGGATCTTGTCCAGGATATCTCTGAACATTCATCGTTCCGTCGATGATGCTGATGCTCCGGACAGAGAGTGGAGAGTGGATGTGTCCAGGAGAACAGGACGTTTGGTCTCCCTAGTTTAATCCCAGATTACCACCTTTGATGCATGAACCCTTCTGAACGGCGTACATTCACTCAGACTTTAGGCAACATTTAGTGAAATTTTTAACACAATCAGAACAATCTATGGAAGAGAAGTTAACGTGCAGACATCATCTCAACAAGACACGGTGATGAAATGTTTTTGTTTTTTTACCTCAGACACAGAAAAGCTGAGCTAAATGAAGTAGGCAGACATCAAACACCAACTCACAGATTTAGCCAATTCTCTTTTTGGTTCACTAGTGAGTTCATTAAAGGGACTTTACGGAGTTTTGAATTTTTATGCTCGTGATTGCCCCCTCTGGCCAAAAGCATAACGGCAGCTTCAATAGGAGGCTCGTGCACGGGGCGCGCATGCTGTACGTGCACACTCCTTAACGAAAATAACAGCTGAGACGAAGCTCTGAGAGCTGACAGTCCCTTGTGTGTGTGTGTGTGTGTGTGTGTGTGTGTGTGTGTGTGTGTGTGTGTGTGGCCCGGAAGACAGAGAACAGGAGAACATGCAGCTAATTAATTAAATAATTTGGTTCTGTACCTTTCTCTTCAGCACAGCCGACAAAGGTTTATGATGGGCCAGTCTTCCTGCATGCTCAGATCATTCCCTTCCCTTGCTTGAAAAATTGTTCCAAAATGAAAGTTGAACCCACATCTTTTTTATCTGTGAAGTGAATGCCGTTCGGCGAGTCTCAAATAAAAATTTGGGCATCTTACTGTAAAAAAATATACCATTAATGTAAAAACTAAATACCGAAACAACCATATCCAGAATCGAACAAGGGTCTTCTGCACGTAAGCCTGAAATTTTACTAGTAGATCTAACTCGCCAGTGGTGTCTTCTCTATCTGTAACAGTTATATCCTTAATCACAGCTGAAACAACGTTCAAAGAACGGTTCGGAGGGCTATGCTTGTGCGTGAACGTGCATTAAGCAGCCTGCTCGACCCGAGTAGCTCTCTTTTTCTGTGATTTTACAGAAAAATAGGCAATCACAATAAAAATGCCAGGGCTCATTCTACAGGACCAGGGCATTGCAGGAGAATGTATGAAGAAGAAATTTATTATTTCTACATGTTTTGGCTGTCAAACTTCCATAATAAGAATCAGAAAAAGCTTTATTGCCAGCGCTCCAGCGACCCAGAGCATAGGAATTTGACTCCGCAGCACAGCCTGACCAAGGTTACACACACACATGTAGACAGAACAGATACAGGCAGACCACGAGAGCAGCCATAACAGCGCTCATTTCAATTAGATGAAAGGGGATTACATGAGGATAACTTGGGGGAGGGAAAAAAGGCATAGAGTAACTCCCGACAGGGAGTAGCTTTACTATGCAAAAAAACGCCTCAAACATATAAGCACGAACATCAACAATTCACAACATGAGACACCGAGAGGAAGGCGGGGGTGGCTGGGATCCTGTTTCCCCAGCGAGAGCAGCCCTATGGCGCTCAGCCACTGTAGCCACAGGTGGGAGGGAGATCTTGGGAGGAGCGCAGAGCACATTGACACCTGCAGGTTGATGACCTCGCCAGGATGAAGTCCACCAATCCGAAGGCGGGGGGGGGGGGGGGGGGGTTCTCAGGAGAATGCCCCTTTAAGAATAGAATCCCTCGTCTGCCGTGGATTTTGTTTCACCCAATGGCCACCAGAGGGCGTAATATCAGATTGGTTTGTAGTGCTAGCTTCTAATTAGATCCAGCTGTAGCTAATTGATTTAATGTTGTTGAACACAGATCATTTAAATAAATGTATTGAATATTTTAGTGGCTAAGTAGTTTTAATATGTGGAGAGGTTCTGGCTTCCCCGTTATTTAGGCTAAGCTCTTAACGAAAATGTAGAAGCTGTAGTAATTTTAAGTGGCATGTTTAATTTAGAAGGAATCTACGAGAAGTGCTGACGAGTTTATAAATAAAGCTTTGATTTGATTTGATTTGAGTTATGCATTGTTTAGCTTTATGAAAGCTGCGTATGGTAACAGCCTTTGTCCGCTAGAGGGCGGAAAATCCTTAATTTCGAAAGTCTGCCAAAGGATTCCATCTAGTTGACCTAAATAATATCCTCATTGACAGTGTGTTGTCATCATTCACATCAATTGACACATTTCAAGTCATTAAATTAAAAGTTTATTTAGACAAAGAACAATCTTTGTAGTCTTTTGCAATTTTTATAAACAAATAAGTCTGTTTCCTTCTACATACTATTTTTTGTATTCTTACTGTAAAGATCACCCTCCATGTCCTCATGCCGTCCCCCCCCCCCCCCACCCCCCCACACACACACTTCTAAAGTCAAAACTACATCCATGTTGGCCCCAGATGAGTGATGTTCTACTTAATATTATGTTCTGTACTCTGACGAACCTCTGGCATTTTTTGTAAAATTGTATCCATAGATTATGTTCCTATTTGTCTTTTGCTTATTTATCCTCCTTGTAATGTTGCAAGTAGTTGCAAATAAAGTTAAATATGAATTGACTTCCAATCAAACTATTGTGAACAGTAGGGCGGCGCTATTCGCTGTAAAGTCGTTTATTCCTCCAGTAAGATTATAGAAGAAGAAGAAAATAAGAAGTCGGAAATGAAACAGGAGTGACAGCTCTCGCGCAGCTCTGCTCTGCTCGACTCCAGACAACAAACCAGTGCGGTCAGACAGTAGCGGATAGCGGGCTGCCATGGATCCAAATACAACCATTCTGCGAGTTAAAAGAAAACGGGGCACCGACCCCGCAGATGCTTTGCTGCTTGCGTGCAAACGGATCCGACCCGAATCATCTCCGAGTTCAGGGGAAACGGTACCGGAACCCAGCGAAACCCAAGTGGAAAACTCTGTCTTCAAACTCGTGGCGACCGTAGCGACACAGGTGAGAGGCCCGACGCTGGGACTCCGCCCAAAGCCACAGAGACACTCATGTGGCCTTGGAGCTGTTTTTAAAGCAGTAGCATAGCTCCTGAGACGCAGCATTTCACTTCGCTCGAGTATCCGGCGGGTTAACGCAGGAGCAGAAAGCGGCGGCTTTCCCTCTGAAAACAAAGCCCACTGTTGTTAGCCTGGTGCTACATTAGCGTAGCATTCAGCTAGCTAGCTCATCTTGTTGGATGTTGTTTTTGATGGAGAACTACGTCATCTGAATAGAATAAATAAAAGTACATGTTTTTAATATTAAAATACTCTTCGAAATAGTAGTCTTTCCACTTTGATGCTCAATTAATGCCTGACTCTTAGCTTGTCCTTAGATACACATACTCTTATTTTTTCTTTTTATATCATGTCAGTGTTTATTTAGCCTAGAGATTACAGAACAGATATGGGAGGGTGTATTATAGCGAACGTCTGGAAATGTTCCGATTTCTGATTTGACGTTTGAATGAATGATTTTTTCCCCTCTTTTCTTTCAGGATGCTCCAGTTCAGACCCAGGTTCGACAGGCTCTGGCCCGGCCCCGTCATGCCCACACGTTGCGTCCCTCTGCAGCCAGCTCTCAGCGGATCACCGGTGACCTGCGGAGCACGAAGTGGAGCACCAGGAGGGAGGAACGCTACAGAATATTGTCGAGTCATCGTGCAGGTCTGGCCCGGCAGGTCGAGGAGCAACCCCCCCAGACAGACGCCTCAAAGCCTGGAGATGAAACTGAGACATCCGAGGACAAATGTTGGGGAGTTGGTGAAATCCAGGTTGTGGATCTCGTCCATGAGGAAGTTGAGGACCAAGACAAACGTCTTGGCAAGGTGGAGTAAGAGGTTTTACATCGATCATATGAGCTAGTCTGGCCTTCATCAGTTGGTCAAAATCAGTAAATGATCAACATGATTGAGCTAATCGTCACGAGCTAGTCTAAAACAATACCATCTGATTTTATTTCACTTTGTAAAATGTGCCATTGCCAAGCAGGAATGAAAAACGAGTCACACTATTTATGAGCACCAGTTCACATTCATAATAACAGATCTTAACTGTGGAAGTTTTTACTTCCAGGATCGTATTTTCCCAGTTAACAGCAAAAAAATAATAGTAAAAATCAGAAATGAACCAAAAATGACATTTGAGAGTCAGGGTTGTACAACATTTCAGAAATCTGTATTGACCCTCAAAGCAGGAATCTGTGCATCTCTAAAATAAATAGATTTAGTGTAAAACAACAAACATCCTGCTTTTCTACCAAAACCAACAAATGAACTGGTACTTATGTTGGCTTTATTCCTGAATGTAACTATTTAATACTGAGAGAGATCAAGGCAAATTTGTCAGTGAGTTCTTTATTTTTATCTCAAAATGATTGCAAAGACAGTGACATTGCCCTTGAAAATTAATTCAGATAACTTTGTCACATTTTGATTTGCCAGCGTGCTTTCATTTTTTCGTACTGTTTGAAAATATCACACTTCCTGTCCATCAGGATGACAGAACAAAGGCAAAACACTGGCAGTTTATGGAGCACATTTAAAATGCACCATTCCAATTTCTGGTTAACAGTCTTTATCTTGTTGTAAAAGTCTTAATTACTGGTGAACAGCACCACCCTGCTGCCTGCTGACATAAACCTGTATCTGCAGGCTCTTATAAATGTGAACATGAATATGCTTTCAACAAAACAGGGCCCCGTACATCAGCAAATAATTCATGCACCTTACTATTTTTTTTTTTTTTTTAAAGATGCTCCCACCAGATCCAGAAGTGATTCTGTGCAACAACACCAAGATGCTGAGGGAGCGTCTGAGTGTATCTGGAGAGAAGCTGGGGACAGAGCACCGCGAGCAGGACGAGGACTACGTCTATGATCTTTACTACCAGGAAGCTGTCACACCAGGCTGGATCCAGGACATCCTGTCTGTCAGGGTCTACGCAGATGATGGAGAACTGGTGTGTGTGGATGGATGGACGGACAGATGAATGAGTGCTGGAATCGGAGTGAGTGAATGAAGAAATGGGCGAAGTAGCAAATTTGAACATAAAAACCTGCTGTCCTGGTTTTAATCTGCTTTAATGAAATCAAAGCATCAGTTTGGGAATTTTGTTATCCTATAGACTTATCTGACTGTTAGGAGGCATTGTGGAAAAGGGAAACGTGTTTTTGTTTTGGCCATGTTTACTCAGACTCGAGAAGTGGGCTGCATGGTGGCGCAGTTAATTGGCACTGTTGCCTCGCAGCAAGAAGGTTGCAGGTTCGAAACTCGCTTGCGGCCTTTCTGCGTGGAGTTGCGTGTTCTCCCCATGCATGCGTGGGTTTCCTCCGGGTACTCCGGTTTCCCCCACAGATCACAACGTGCCCTATAGGTTATAAATTGTAAGTCGCTTTGGATAAAAGCGTCTGCCAAATAAATAAACCTAAAAGGTTTTATATGAAAGGACAAATATCTGTCAAGTCACGCTGGTGTGAAGCTTTCCCGAAGGCTCAAAAACCAATTATGAATTAAAAGCCACAAGATGTGCGCATTAATTCTGATTTGGTTCTCAGGTTCCAGATCTTGTGGTTCATGAAGAGGAGGTCTATGATGATGAGGATGATGAGAACGAAGAGAGCAACTGGAGGAACGACTACCCCGATGAGGGGAGCGATGCTGACAGCGACAGAGAGCAGCGCTATGGTGGTATGTGTTTACGTTCTAGAGGCCCGTGAAACGCTGACATTAAAAATCCTCCACAACAGGATCCTGGCCTTGACAGCAGCACAAATGCTGTTTTAGAGACGATTACGAACATAAATGCAGGAAGTAAACTTTAAAAAAGCGTTTACGCTAGGGATGCTTGATATTGGCTTTTTTACCAATATTGTCTAACTCTTAATTCCCGATACCGATATATGCGGGGTCCCCCCTGATCAAAAAAGAAGTTAAAAAATCATTAAGGTCGCTAACAACACGTATCTCTTATCATGAATGCTTAAGCTTTAAAGATTATCAGTGAAAAATGAAAACTACTTTAATTGTAGTTATGTTTTAGTTAGCCTCCAACAGCACTGGAATGACATTCTCCCTGAGATGATCCTGACTCACGCTCTGTGATGCATTTAGCCCTCAGATAATTATGAAGTTCATGATGGGAAAAAGTTTGATGAATAAATATTACGAGTGAATTAATGCTAGAAAGGTTAAAATGTTTTATGTTTTGAAAACGTATCAAAGTGAGACATCACTGTTACAATTTTTGTCACACTGTCTGTGTAAAACGCGACAGACAAAGCGCTCTTAACTCTTATCTATGACTGACGTAGTTTCTGTTGTCCTCCAGACAACAGACAATAAACTGATCATGACGCTGATTTTGCAACAGTTGTCTTTGTAAGTATCAGTTTGTTTAGGGAATGTTTGGGCGTGTGTTAAAGTTACTTACCGTAAATCCTCTAATACAGGCCCGGGCCTGTATTTGACTCAAGCTCATCAAGCTCCAGGCCTTTATTGGAAGGAGGGCCAGTATTAGAGGCAGGCCTCTATTTCTATTTGAGCAAAATGAACTAATGGTTTGCTGGAGTTTTTGACAATTAATATTGCGCCCACATTTTCAAAGTTAAACACATTTCTTTTAACAACGATAGTTTCTGCTTTAGCCCTCTCCCCCCTCCCCCTGCGCAGCGGCCGCAAACTCACTGATGCGCCTGCAGCCTCTCAGAGTTCCTGCTGCTCTAAACATTAAAATAATTATTTCATTTTCTGTTCCTCACTTCTGATTACCTTCAATGGTGTCTGTTTGTTGCAACCACCAGGTACAAAAACTAACTTGTTTTTATTTGACTCTTTTTCTGTCCTGCCTGTTTATTGTCTTCCTGCATCTCCTCTCAATCCTAAAGAGAAACTGCTACCTGGGTTCATATATATTCATCTTATGAGTTACCTTTGAACTGCAGTTCTAAAAGATCTACCGACCGCAAAAACTGCGGAGTGCTCGCTGCTTGGCGGCCGCATCAGTGATCGGTGCGTCACCGGATGACAAAACAGGTGATGCGCCCCGCTCCACAGCAGCGAAATGCATCAGGCACAAATAAAAGACAGAAAACATAAAAGGAAATGAGCCGACATGAACGATCGCGTGTTAAATTAGTTTTTGAGGTGGCGACACCTGATTTGATAATGTTACTGTGGCCGTGCTCAGGACGCAGATGTCTGGAGCACGTCAACAATCAGAGCTTTGCATGTGCAAGCTGGTTAAGGTTAGGATGGGGGTGAGGGGAAGGTTAAATTGCAAGAGGGTAAACGTCACAATTTGGTTCAATGTCCGTTTTACGGCGGGTGTCAGTACCGACGCTCTGGCACAGCGCGTTGCCTCCCGACTTGCAGGAGCTTGTCACCTGCTGACAGCAGGCTGCTGTCTTTTCCGTGGACTGCATCTTGTCGGTCATTATCACGTGACAGCGACTAGTCGATGACAGGCATAAAAAGTCACTATAGAGCGGTGAAGTCGACTAGTGACTAGTTCATACAACCCCTGCTACTGCTCCCCAGTGTTCTGCAGCATAATCAGCACGTTCTCTTTGACCTTGATATCAAATTTTCGCCTCCTCTTCATCTCCGC